CTGCATACGCGATCTTATATGCCAGAACTTTTCACAAACAATAAAAGGGGAGAAAATATAAACACGTGCATCCATAACGACCTCCACGATATTCATATATCAAATAACACCGCAATTTTGCCTATCAAAAAAATAATAGGAATATACACCAATATTGAACATAAAAAGACAAAATAAATTAGCAATGAATATTTTCAACAAGAGTAAATACACATACTGTACATCGCATCGATTTCACTCACCCAATCATAGCAAGCTAAAAGATCCCGCACCCATTTTGGCGAAGAAATAAAATAAAGAAAAAAAATACCACCAGGCAAAGAAACAAAAGAGCATAAAGCATTCGCAGGCGGAGGCAAAGATGGAGAACGAGAGCGCTTTTGTGCAATCAAACACCTACCTGAAGAAAGGATCCAAATCTGCGAGGTAGTCTCTGTAGACAGATACGAGTGCATGAGTTAATACTATGTGGCTAGACCTGCATGCCCAAACCTCGGTCAATAGCCTTCGGTTGACACACAAATTTGTGCCAGGTTACATACCGCCTTTGGTAACACTGACACCAGGAGGCTTCTACGTGAAAAAAAAAGATGTGCGCAAATATATTACGAAGGAAAACAACAACAGCCGTCATAACATAATAAATATGACGAGTGTGGGTAGCCATATTTACAACTAGAATGAATAATTACAAAGAATACATATATATAAATATATTAACGAGGATAAGCTTTCTCTGGCGAGGTGCAGTGTCACAAAGGGATGTGTAACGTGGCAGGATAACACACCAGGTAAACTGATGGTTAGTGAAAATAGGAACAACAGGTATATATATGAAGGAGACTCATCACGAGAAAACACTGATCGTATTTCTTTTTATGAAAAAAACTTTACTGTCTTCACTTACTCATGAACATATATTGATCATAGCGTTTTCTATGTTGAGTGTCCATCTGTTCAAAATAAATGAATAGTTTCTCTAAGAATTGGGTGTGAAGTGAACGAAATTCATCAGTTGTGATGTAAGTTGTAATCCACAGGATTAAATTTTGACAAAGAAACCTACAAAACATGCATATATAAGTGTATATACACATCGATATCTTCTGAACAACCTACGTTTGATACATAAGTGCCAATCAGTTTTCTACAATGTTATGGTGCTTTTCAGTTATCTACAACATATACCAAAAACTCTTCATGTATAAAGGATGGCATTGCAAAAAAATAATTTTAAAATACCATACAAGAAAGAGAGAGAGAGAGAGAGAGAGAGAGGAGAGGAGAGGAGAGGGAGAGGGAGAGGGAGAGGGAGAGGGAGAGGGAGAGGAGAGAGGAGAGAGAGAGAGAGAGAGAGAGAGAGAGAGAGAGAGGAGAGAGAGAGAGAAGAGAGAGAAGAGAAAGAGAAAGAGAAAAGAGAAAGAGAAAGAGAAAGAGAAAGAAAGAGAAAGAGAAAGAGAAAGAGAAAGAGAAAGAAAAGAGAAAGAGAAAGAGAAAGAGAAAGAGAAAGAGAAAGAGAAAGAGAAAGAGAAAGAGAAAGAGAAAGAGAAAGAAAGAGAAAGAGAAAGAGAAAGAGAGAGAGAAAAGAGAAAACAAGAGAAACCAACTCACAGATTACGGCAAAATAGTGCCAGGAGAAACACAAAAAAAACAAAAAGCCAAGGAAGACGAGCCCAGAGAGGCCCTCCTCCACGAGACTGTAGAAAGCGGGTCCCAAAAACGGCCTGCCCCTTACCTTGGCAGGCTGGAGCTCATGGGGTCGGCATCGAAGTGGTGCATGCGGCGGCGGTCGAGGGTGGCGTAGCGCGAGGAGCCCACGTCGGAGTCGTAGCCTTCGGGCTCCGACATGTAGCCCCCGTAGCGGGCTGCAAGACCACCCGAGAGAAGACGTGTTATCAATACCCAGCAGGTGAAAAAACGTATGATAATAAAACGGATTAATGAATCTCTCCTATTACCATAATGAGTAAATCGATAATCAACAACATGACGAAGATCTGCATTAAGTCTTTGCTGTATAAGAAAGAGGGAGCAAGGCAGACTAATAATAAAAAAGCCCCCTTAGTATACCAATACAGGTTCAACATGTTACGCACCTGTTCTCCAGTGATCAAAATTACAGGTAAAATAAGCAGATTCCTCATGCGGAGAAACGGGATTTTAAGACTAAATGTTTAAAAGTCTCAATACAGGTTCTCCACATTCCCGCCATCAAGATACAAAGGTTGCCCAACGGGTGCTGTGATGATTCTCTCTCTCTCTCTCTCTCTCTCTCTCTCTCTCTCTCTCTCTCTCTCTCTCTCTCTCTCTCTCTCTCTCTCTCTCTCTCTCTCTCTCTCACTCTCTCTCTCTCTCTCTCTCTCTCTCTCTCTCTCTCTCTCTCTCTCTCTCTCTCTCTCTCTCACTCTCTCTCTCACTCTCTCTCTCACTCTCTCTCTCTCTCTCTCTCTCTCTCTCTCTCTCTCTCTCTCTCTCTCTCTCTCTCTCTCTCTCTCTCTCTCTCTCTCTCTCGGGGAAGTATGAAAGCGAAAAGGAGGATAATAGAGAAAGGAATAAACCAGACGATAAGTGTGAGTTTTCACTGTTCTCTCTCTCTCTCTCTCTCTCTCTCTCTCTCTCTCTCTCTCTCTCTCTCTCTCTCTCTCTATATATATATATATATATATATATATATATATATCCCTTTCTATCTACTTCCTTTCTATCTACTTCTACCTCTCTAGTTCTCCCGACCTCTCTCTTACCCTCTCCCCTTTCTTCCCACCCATTTCCTTTCTCTCTCTCCCTCTCCATCATCATCCTTCCTCGCCCTTCCCCCTAATTCCACCCAAACCACCTTCTCCCCTCGTCTAATTGTTATTCCATCCGATGCTAATAACTTAAACGCGGGTCATGATTCCATTAGGAGATCCGGTCAGCTCGGTCCATATTACGAGGGAGAGGAACACAACCATAACCTTAATGATAATAGTACTGGGGAGTGAAAATGCGTCTGTCTATATCTACGTACACGTACACATTACCACACACACGCGCGCGCGCGCACACACACACAAACGCACTCACACACACACACACACACACACACACACACACACACACACACACACACACACACACACACATACATACAACACACACACACACACACACACACACACACACACACACACACACACACACACACACACACACACACACACACATACATACATACATACACACACACACACACACACACACACACACACACACACACATATCTTTGTCTGTCTCTCAAGACCTGACAAGGTGTCCTAATCTCAGCAGCACCCACGAGGCAACCAAATGTCGCAGTCACACAAAAGCAGCATGAAGCTATGGCACAGAAACCGGGAAGAGGAGTGGAGACTGCAGGTTCCAAAAAAACAGAAGAACAACAGGTTCTTGCACTTTAATGGGTGTTGCAAGGAAATGCATTTACACTTTAATACAGGAGCTTTATGATCATCATCATGCCAAATAGCATTTCCCAATTTTTTAATGAGTTCCGGCAAAAACCTTTTGTAATATACAGCTTAACTAGACTACAGAGGGATAGTCAAGTCAATCCCAAAAGCGAGACTATATATATATATATATAAAATGCAGGTTTCTAAACTCTACATACTTAGATCAGAAATCTATTTTCTATATCTAGGTTAGCAGCTGAAAAAACATATTTCTATAATTATATATATATGTACATGTAGATGTTTCCGCATGTTCCACCTCAAAACTAGAAAAAAAATTGTCATGCAGAAGATAACATAGTGGAAGGGGGAAAAAAAAAATAAATAAAGGGGAGTTAGTGAAAAATGAAATTTTGGTTATCAATTTTGAGATATACCTTTATTTTGCCTGTATTTAGATCTAGGTGAGTCTGAAAATAATTGAAGATCAAGACCAGATTAGGCACAGTTACTAATACAGATGAAGAGAAAGAATTTGTAATTCAAAATAAGAACCAAATGGTAAATGAAGCCAATGCAAATTTCCGAGAGAGACAGAAATAAATAAATAAAAAATAGAATGTAAGAAACAGTCGAAAACAATGGATCCAAGATCATTATAGGTCATCTTTGTGATGAAACCTTTCAATGAATGAAAAAAAAAGCAAAATTGGTATCCATCATTTTCTCAGAATATAAATGTCCTCTATCACTTTAATATGTTATAGAAAAGATCTGTAGATGCTAGAAATATAGATGTGTATTATGCCATTCTAGTGACAGTAAGCAGTACAAAATGCTCCCCACAGAAAATCCAGCATTATTTTAAGAGCCCCACGGCAAGCAGTAACATAAAAGCCTCTATGGTATTCCTGTACTTATGTGTACCTCGTGGGCATTTGTATTTGATGATGACGTGATCGTCTGAAATCAAAAACGATTCTTAGAAATGTGAATCACCCTTGGCCTTCTACAGTATTCTGTCTGACATTTTGAAAACTGTGAGATACTCTTGTAATTTTCTGGACTACTGATCTCAAACTATAACAGTAACAACTATCAATCTATCAGTAACAAAGGACTCTTTAATCATCTACACTGACAAGACAAATACTGTAATCTGGTTCAGTTTGTGGCCATTGGGAGAATAATAAAGCCTGCATGTGATTGTTTAGTTAGATAATGAACAACTATGTTAATGCCTGGCAGAGTAGATCCTGCGATCATAGACGCTGACAGCTTGTTCAAAAAAATTAGAATAGGCAGTTGCCAGTTAGTATGAATTTGGAGTTTGAAGGTCAATTTGGCTTGGTTGCCTTACTGACTGCAGTTAATATGAAAGCAGGGAAAATATAACAATATAATGAGATGTATAAAATCATGTTAGGTTGGGATCCTAGAGGCAGTCACTGTCAATATGTTTTCAATTTAGTTGCCATAGATATTTCTAGTAAGATAAAAAAAAAAAAAAAAAATCTTGTAATGTTGACTGATGTTTCAAAGGCATTCCTTATCTGTAATCTGAATGAATCCTTTCTACATATGAATGAACTCTTATTTGCTCATTCACTAAATTTTGTAAAAAGAAAAAAAAACAAAAACAGATGGCTACTGCATCTAAAAGATGGCCCTCTGTTGTGATAATTTTTCAAAAAATAAATGAGATACCATACATTTACAATTACTAATAACAGTAAATGCATTATCGTGAATATGTACAAAAGCATATAAAGCAACATTTGCTTTATTACTTTGTGGTCATTATATCAAATAACGATGCAACTCTCGACAATGACTATATTGCCAAGAGCATACATAAAAAATATACATATCAATTGGCAACTAATCATTTTAGGAATTTATATATACTTAGTATATTATTTTTTCTCTGATATACAAAAACAAAAAAGGCTGACATATTAGCCCTCATAATCAGAAGAACGAACTCATGATCATTTTCACCTACATGATTACCAGCAAATAATCTTTATATACACACTGCAGGGCTTTGTGGTGCTGATAAAAAAAAAAATGACAAGACCAATAAAACTGTGCACACTACAATATGTATATACAGTTCAACTGAAAACGAAAACTTTACAGCAAATAAATCAAAATGAACGAATCAACTTACCATCTTTAACTTTATGTAGAGAATCGAACATCCTGCGATACCACTCTCCTTGGTGCTCAGACTTCACACCCTGAGGAATCCAACAAAACCTTATATTAGGAGCCCTGTAACGGATGCCGGCCAACGCAAGGGTAGGAGGAGGAAGGTGGCAGGTGCTTGGTGGCCAGGGATCATAGCCTGGGTGTTGGGCATGCTGGGTGACTTAAAAATACAAGGTGTGTTGGAGCCTAGGGAAACAGCATATGAATGCTCACATATATAGGCAAATAAGGTGACACAGATACAATAATACAGTCACACTCACAATTACACTTATATGGATACACATGCACACACACACACACACACACACACACACACACACACACACACACACACACACACACACACACACACACACACACACACACACACACGCATACACAAACACACACACACACACACACACACACACACACACACACACACACACACACACACACACACACACACACACACACACACACACACACACACACTCTCACACACACACACACACACACACACACACACACACACACACACACATACACACACTCTCACACACACACACACACACACACACACACACACACACACACACACACACACACACAAAGAAAAAAAAATAGAAAGAGATGACATAGATATAACATGAAGGACCTCATAATGACACAGTATTGCATGCACAAAGACACACATAAGATAAAAATGCAAAACTGAGTAACACAGTACAATTAACATGAACACCAGTTTACAATCCACATGGAACAAACATGTATAAACTGTTCAATGGAATCATTATAAACAGTTTATATGCATTTTCTTATATCTACAACACTGACTAAATATAAGCTATAAAATAACACCAAAATAATGAACTACAGTGTATTGCTGTTGAATAAAGAGAGTGGGGACACTGTTCTCCCTTGTACTGAGAAATATCACTAACTGTGGTATCAGAGCAAGAGTAAGCTAGTACCGAGAGTTCTGTTTACTCTAGCAAAGATACTGAGGTTAGTTACTATTTCTAAATAAAGAAATTTGGTGCTTTTTCAGGAGGAGGAGAGAAAAGACAGACGGCGTCCATCTGAGCAATGTGTAGGGAAGAAACAGTGTATCATACATAATATACATACCTTGAATCCTTTTAACTTTATCATTTTGAAAATTCTTAATTTATCCTAAATTGCAGCGTGAAATATAAGACACTCTGTAGTTGCGACACGGTAAAGAGGGGGGGGGGGGGCTTTGTACTCGATACCTTTATGTTTTATTTGCTTTTCCATTCTTACTGTTCTTGAAGTCAAGTTCAAAATCCATGAGGATTTAAAGAACTAGAAATCAAACAGATGTCTACTAATATGAAATAGAATGTACTTGTTTGCAAACAATACTGTAATGAATTTAAAGGTCTTTAGAGTAATTACTGTATTGAATCTTTTTTTTTTTTTTTTCTTTTAGTTATTATTCTTATCTTACATTTTTTCAATCTTCATCTATTTCTTTTTTCCTTCTAATGAAGTTTTTCTAAGAGAATTCTTTGATAAAATTGGTCTTAGTCTTTCATTGACTTCTGTTGCTTTAATCCTTAAACACATAAAAGCTAATTCATTGCAATAACAGTAAAAAAACAAAAAACAACTTATTGTCCCTCTAGATTTAACAAATAGCTTTGATGTTTATTTTTACTTGACCTGGTTATTTTACAGTTATTCTTGCAAACAAAGTCTTGCTTGTAATGCTTTTCACAGTGTGAAAAAGCCATGATAATCATAATATGTATTCCTAATACAAAACTCTCCTCTTCCATATACATATAGTATATATATGTATACATGTATACATATATATATATAAATATATATATATATATAT